ATCAATAGTGTGTTACTATAGACTAGTAGTTGAATGAGTTACAGTTCCTGATCAGTTGGTAGATTATTTGTTGGTAACTTGTTGAGTGGTGACACTGTGTCTGACTGTCTGTGAATAAGGAACCTATAATCTTTATATAGTAGTCTCTTGTGATGTCAGTAATGTATTGCACAATAGGTGTTAACCCATGACATGAAGTTATAATCATTGGCTTGTTATAAGTGTTACTGTCAGTGTCAGTGGTTTGCTACATGTAGAACAAGTTATGCTGTTAATTGTTAATCATGTCTTGCATAATTATAAGTGTTAGCCAATGGTCATTGTCATTGTCAGTGGCATGTACAAGTGCAAGTTTGTCTAGCAAATGAAGCTCATTTCATCAATCATTCCTCCACCAAATTTATAGTGTGTTAGCATAGAAAATGCCTTTTTGCATGTATAGCAACCATTTTTCTATAAACTATAAAACTACATTTACTGTATATGCATTTGAGTATAGGTGTGTGTATAAGCATACTTGTATGCATACATTATATGATTACCGTAAATGTTCAAATAAAAGCCCGGGCGTTTATTTCTTTCCAGGACAAAAAAATTGCGTAAAATAAAAAAAAGAAAAAGCAAAACTGGGATTCGAACCCGGAACTCCAGGTTCCATGCACTCAGTTTAACAAGTTAGGCCATTTGGGACACTCTTAAGGATGTGGTACTTATATTGACTCAAATATGCGTATCTATACTTGGAGAATCTTAGTACCAGGCGTTTATTCAAGCCCGGCCTTTATTTGAACATTTACGGTATGTGGATCTACATTACAGTACATTACTAGTAAAAAGTGACTCTGCCTAATATTTGGCCATTTTTGGCCATTTCAACCAATAAACTGCATTTTGTGTTTTTCAATAATGAATGAACACTACCCAACTCTTTACCATGAATTTGTTTGCAGATTAAAGTAACCACAAAGTTGCATTGTGTTTTATTGTGACTATTTAAGAGTTTTGTCTCTGTCTCTTTCATTTATTCATTCATTGAACTGTTTTTATTTCTACACAGAAATATGTGCTGTGTCACGTCATCATGTTCAAAGAATGAAATTGAAAGATGCCTTAAACTTTTTGGTCAGGCAGCAAACCCAGCAATGAATACTGTATCAACTACTAAAGCATGATTAGTGAGTATATTGAGGAAGTATAGGTTTGAAAGCGGATCATCTGATACTGAGGTTGGTTATAGATGATCTTGTTCATCATTGAAATACTTTCATGCATAATTTATTTTTATTTTTGTAGATACAATTAAAAAAGAAACAAGGTTTTACTCGGTCTCCAAAAGATTGTTTTTCTAAGAATGACTCCCTAATAAAATCAGTTGGAATTAAATTTTATTTTTATTTTCGGGTAGTTTACAAGCATAATATTATTTTGATTTTTTTTGCAAAATAATAATAAGTTTCTGTAATTTTTATTAGATGAATTTCAAGGGCTTGGTGTAGGTGTGGTTAGCCCTGCCTTAAAACCACGTGGAGTCATCATGAGAATTTTTTTATACTCCTGAACCTGGATTTCCTATTGTCGACACAAGATAAGGGAGCTTCTGATTGGCTGAAGGTTTTTAGTTGCTCCTAGTGAGTCAGAGAGTTGTTCCAGAGGATAATGGATTTCATGCTTACCTCAATGGACTTTCTTAAGTGTGGTGTTGTCCTCGGAGAGACTAGTTAGAGAGAGAATAGTATACACACTGGCAGATCCAGAAAAATTAAAAGGGGGGTTCCATTTCACTTAAGTAGGTGTGGCTCATTAATTTTAATTAAAATTTGGGTGTGGCTCATCAATTTTAATTAATAAAATGGAGAAAAAGTGCTGCAAACTGACTGCAAAGAATAGCTATGTCACATCCTGGTAAATATGTATATTGCACCGGAAGTGATCGTCTACCAGATATAAACCCAACGCGGTGCCTTTCATCTTATGGCTTCCCATGATACAAGTAGCTATAACTCACCAAAAAGAAAGATTTAAAGAGTCCCACACATATTAAACGAATAAATAGTGTTGATCTACTGGGAAAGAGTCTCATTTACCTCCAGAGTACTACCACTATTGCTGGGCATTTTCTTGTGAGTTAAAAGCTTGTACTACCTAGAGCTGCTCTCGAAACATCTTGAAGCAGTAAAGCAAGACTTTTCCTAACAGAAGAGAAGCTCTCACAGGTTTAGAGTGCGCGATTGTAAAGATATACATTCTCAAAGACAAAATATAGCACACAGAATGAATGACAGACAGATAAACCGAGTACCTAGCCCTCGCCTACGCAAAGCTGGGGGAGGCCAACTAGCCAAATGCAATGCATTAATGGGGTGAGTTTGAGTCAGTCGTGGTTATGTACTGACTCTGCTGCTAGCTAGACTATTTTTCCAGTTAAATCTTGAGTCTTGAACACCCATGAAAACCCTCTGAGCATGATTTTTCCAGTTAAATCTAGGGTCTTGAATGCCCATGACAACCCTCTGAGCATGAAAAAGAGCATCCTTGTCATTCTAGCTACATGTACATGTAGGTTGTTGATGTTGAGCTCAAGCTTTCTTCTTGCTTCATTCACACGTGTTTTTTTACAATACCTAGGAGTGACTTTTAATTGTGGGTACTAAATTTTGCAATTTTAGCACAAGGTAGATTTTGCTGGTATTAAAAATTGCGATTAAGTAATTATTACTTGATGTCATTATTAATAATTGCACGTATTAATAATTGCGATTTTAAACCCAAACGCAAAAATTTGCAATTAATATTATAGTACCCATATTTAAAAGTAACCTTAAGGTATTTCATTAGAAATTGCTACCACATTAGATCATTTACACATAAATAGAGAGTGGTGCACACATGGGGCATGACCAGAAGATGGGCCTGAATGGAGACGTACACATACATGTACATACAATGTACATGTAACAAAAGACTTCTGTTCAAGTGGGGCTCACTCAAGCTCGCCCCAATAATGGAAAAAACAAATTTACATGTACATGTACATATGTGTAAATAAACAATGTACGTAAATAAACAATGTACAGTACAGTACAATTTTTTTAATTGAAAGAGCCTCTAATTCTACCATGACATACATGACATACATGTAAAAGATAACAAATTCACCAAAAAATGCTACTCACTAAAATATGTCTATAGTTCCACTCCAAAATCATTGTATATTGTACATGTACATGGTGCATAGCTAAATTAAAATCCAGTATTATATTCCTATCCCTCACTAAATCCCTCCATTCTCACCGATAGTCCAGTGTCTCTCCCTCTTTAGCTAAAACAGACAACAGTGCTTCTGGTGATCCATCAGTCTCATTCAGTTTACTAATGAGAGTATCAGCAAAAGACTCAGCATCATACTTGACCTTTTCATCTCTCTTCCTTGTCTTATACACAGTGTACCTAGCTCCCTATATAAAGAGGATAGAGAGAGAGAAGTATAATACTGTATACTGGGATATTTTTGAGTCGCTAAATTTAATTTCAAAATTTAAGCAAAAATGTGGAATTTCACAATTTTCATTATTGCAACAGGGCAAAAAACTGTAAAATTCATGAAAATTTGGCTACTTGAAAATTTACCAGTATACGGTGCGCATACATGTATTCTATGTACATGTACTTCTTAATAGTAGGGCTTATTGTCATACATGTACTTGCCTTGATCTTTAGCTCTCTTTTCCTTGCATTATAATTAACTCCCTACGAAGAGGATGAGATTATGTTGAATATACATGCAATGGAGACATACAATGTACACATACACAAAACATGCATACAGTACACACATGTACCTCTTCTGCTGCATCAAGCTTGGCACTTTCATCTCTTTTGGTACAGCCACTAGCTCCCTGTGAAAGGAAAGAGTAGCAATATCAAATATCCTACTCATGTTTCTTTCTTTTACAGTTAAACTTGGAAGTGCCTTTTCTATTGAATCATGCTTCCTCACAGATTTAATTTGACGTCTCGGTCCAGGCTCCCATATAAAATAACTAATGTCCTGAAAGTGATAAATGTAACTGAATTATGAAATTAAGAAATAAGATCTAAAATTAACAAATTATGTACATGCACAAACAGTACATGCATACATGTCAAGAATAGGTTCATATGAAAGTGGAGCAATAAATGGAAAATCAAATTACATGTACATGTATATATTAATTCTATTATTGTTTTACAGCTAAAGTTGGAAGGAGAGGCTCCATTACCTCGGCATCAAACTTGTTCTTAGCCTTCTCATCCATCTTTGTTTCATATCTAACTCCCTATATAAAGAAAATTAATTATTACAATGCTTTATAGCTAAGTTTGAAGTACTGTACATGTACATTGAACATACACGTTCCTCCTCATATGCATACTTGTCCTTTTTATCTCTCTCTCTTGTTGTATAACCCTATAAAGAGTATGACATTCTAAATGTACTTCTCTGTTTCCTTACAGCTAAAGTTGGAAGTGGCTCCTTTGCTGCACACATGTTAGCCTTTATATTGCATCACCTCCTGTAAAGAATTTCTTGTTAAGGTAGTTATATACATGTATGTACATGTTGTGACCCTGTGTTGCTATGGAGCATAACAATATTCATTCTGTGTTTGGTCTAGCATTACAACTAACAATATTCATAAATATAAATTTCCCTCTGCCCTCTTTAATCATTTATCTGCTATTACACTCCTGGTATTAGTAACTGGATCTCATTGGTAGGCTACATCCAGCAATAAGTAATCCCCAAGTACAGATGCACTAATTACTACTTATACTGCACATGTACATACATGTAGGCATCTACTCATCAACAAAATACATTTACGATGTACAACTGCACATGATACAGCACAGAAATGGAGCCTAAATTTACAGTACATACATGCATAATATAATCTAATTTATTCTCTTTCACTATTAAGCCCACCATACACCGGGTCATTCACTTAATCGACCATGATAATCTATAAGTAATATACATGTAGTTTAAATATATAAATTGATATTAACACTAGTAACCACACCAAATGCACTAATACTAATATTAACATTATGACTAAAGTAGCAAAGTGCAAACCATTTACATGTTGTGAAAAGTCCTGCATGCATTCAACGTCCAATGTTCTGTTTTAAATGTACCTGTTCCAATATTACCATCATGCAGCTGAGATTCATACTTGCATACACTTACATAATACATACAAGTAGTCTTTGTCAGAAAAGAAATAGAATATAAATACCAGTGTTGTTTTAGTTCATAATTTACATTTTAGTTTCAGTTATGGTGCTTTAGAACAAAGTAAATTTATTTCCAGTTCTAGTTATAGTAAAGCCTCAGCCTATTTCTTTTAGTTATGATTAATGTGATAGTTATAACAAACCAAACAATACAAAGCAAAAAAGTCGTTGATTCATAGCAACTTCAAATATTACCACAATCAAACATGCCTCACTAACAAAAGTACCCTCTCAACAAGGTCAATTTTGGTCAAATGAAAGTAGATTTCAATCAACAAGTAGGTGTGGCTAGTACTAGTACAAAACTGTTTAATTTTATTTTAGTTATAGTTTTGACAAATCATTTTAGTTATGATTCTAGTTATTTTGACATCACATGGAAGAATTATAGTTTAGTTAACTAAATTACAATTTTGCTGTACTAAAATAGATTTAGTTATAGTTATAGTTAACTAATACAACACTGATGAATACTATGATACGATGTACTTCCTCAACCTTTATATGTGTAATAGGAAACCGTTCATTGACATCTGCTTGATATTTTTTAGAATTTCATAGCCTTTCATAACTCAATTTCTAAGTCAATCATTTGCTTTTTTCATTTGTCACCTTCACCACTTATGTTCAAACACCATTGCCATTACATAAAACTAGAACATACACAGCAAAAAAAATTTACATATTGGCAGTTATATATTGAGATTATAGAATATTAGAGCTACAGATTCTTTTGTCTACCAGTAAGAGAGCCAAACTAAAAAATTCTTTTTGGTACAAAATATCTAATTACATTTTATAAACCTATTACTATTAGCCCTACAAAAAAGGCAAATTAAAATTTTTTTAATCCCTCATTGTATAGACCTTTCCCACCACTGTACGTTTAGCAATGAATATCATTAACGAGCCGCCATTTTGTGGGATTGATGTACAGTGATGGATGGGCTAAAAGCACTATTTCTTTATTTTCTCCAAGATAACTGTGAAAGCAAAGACCAAATTGCAGTATGATAACTAAAATTATACAACAAATGTGCAATGAGCATTTCTGTGTGAACCAGAGCTTGCATTTATAAGGAAAATGGGAAAAGTCACTTTTTGCCCATTCGTCTCTGTACATCTATCCCACAACATGGTGGCTCGTTAATGATATTCATTGCTAAACGCTGCATTGGTGGGAAAGGTCTATATGCAGTTCACTTAAGTAATTACATAGCAATAACTTCAAAATTAAAATTGGCATCGAGAATCATTTGTGGCATCACTATCAAGTAGACTACGTATACATGACGCAACAAGTATCACTCATGCAGGAAAATCTCAGACAAGTCCTTACACCATATCTACTTTATTATTATTATTATGTGTATTAGGGTAAACATTTACATGTACTTATAAAAATAACAATTACTGGATTATAATAGATAGGTAAAAATGTACATGTATATAATTTTATAGGAAACAATTTTAAATTAATTAAAGGTGTTACAACATATCATACAATGTAATAATAAAATGATCTTTACACACACATACAACTCTTATTTATTTATCTATTAATTTTACTTTAAGCATTATCGGCTTGAAACAAGCAGGCCACCAGTTAGGTACTACCCATTACTCCGGATAGACCACGTACTCCATAATTAAAGGTAAAAATTTCCCAAGCTACATATGAAAAGTGACGAGCCACGATATGAAGAGAAAAGAATATCTATGGAATGAAGAGATTCATGAGATCATAGATACTATGATGAGATCGAGAGTTCATGGTTGGACCCGCCCTGCTCCCACGTGTTGATTGAATCAGTGAATGTCATTTTGGAGGGAATTCTGGATTTGTAATTTAAAAGAATCATATTTTCAAGCTAAAAGAAGGTATTGTTTTTTATTTCATGTTTTGTTTGTCTAATGTGATACTCCACTTATCCGCCTGACTATCCTCAGACCTAGTCCTCCGCAGTGACTCGCTGCTTTGTATCAATGATGTAATCAATATGCAACTGTGAGTCTCTGTTTTAGTTTGTCAATATTAGCATATATACTGTACTGTATAGTTGGAAACTTTTGAGGGATTAAACTTTCACAAATCTTCCCAAAAAATTATTTTCATGGATTTAATCAAAGCATTCCACCATCTTGTATATTCTTATGGATTTTAATTTAGCAATTCTCAACTGACAAAACCACAAAAACAGTGACCCTTAGAAGTTTCTGACTTCAGTGGAACCTCTGATAATGAAACTTTTTTTTCACAAAACCTTTATGTACTCAAAAAACTTCATATGCCAGCTTCATTTCTTATTAATTAGAAACCTTTAATTTCTCTTTAATGAAGACTTTCGTGCAATGAAAACATTAGTGTCTGAAAAGTTTCTATATTCACTGTATATACATGCATTCAATTTGTATAACATATAATGATGTGGTTTGGCCTCATTATAGTAATAACTTAAGGGCCCTGCCTCAAAATTTCTATTGCTGTGTATACATTTTGGTGAAATGGACTAAGAACTGTTAAGATATGATTTTTGCTAAAAAAAATATTATTATTTTTTGCCATTTTTCATCAATGTGTAGACTAGTACATTGAAATAGAATGTATTATACATGTAGACTAGTTCAATTATTTGTATATATGCCTTGTATTTGCTGCATAACATTGCTGATGCATGCATGAGCGTGATGCTAGCATATTGAAGAAATTAACATTAAATATTTTAAAAATTTCATGACACTAATCAAAAATTTAATTAGCTAATTTAATCTAGTAAACAACAAGTCGACCATTACCAGAATCACAAGCATACATAAATCCATCTTTATCAAATGCTAATCCAGTAGGATGCTGAAAATTATCAATATTACTACCCCACCTTCCAAAACTGTTGGTAAACACACCTTTGCTAGTAAATACTAAAATACGATTATTGCCCCATTCGCTAACATAAACTAGACCAGTAGCTTCATTGTCTATTGTTATACCTATGGGACTATAAAGTAATCCAGAACCAGATCCTTTATTTCCAAACTGACCCACAAACTTTCCATCTTGAGAAAACTTCTGAATACGATGGTTGTCCCAATCAGCAACATACACTAATCCTTGACTGTCAATAGCAACATCACGTGGAGACTGAAACTGTCCACTAGCTGATCCTTCACTACCAAATGAATGTGAGAAGGTTAGATCAGGATTCAAGACTTGTATGCGATGATTACCAGGATCAGCAATATAAACCTGTCCTGTTATAGGAGAAATGGCTATACCAGCAGGATGATTAAATTTTAGTGGTCCACTGCCCTTCTTACCAACTGATGCTATACGGTATCCATCCATGCTTACCTTTTGGATACTGTGCCTATCAGAAACAACAATTAATTTGTCTGGAGTAATGGCTACACCAAGAGGATGAGAAAACTTGACATTACCACTTCCTCCTTCCCCTCCTAATGATTTCACTTTCTTTCCTTCTCTGTCCAGTATTGTTACACAGTGACTACTATTCTCAGTTATTATAACATGATTGTCATCACTTATAGCAACTCCACAGGGACCCTTAAGCTCAGTTATAGTATGTATTGGAGTGATGTTGTCAAGGTAAGGATTAATAGGGATTATTACTGTGGTATCCTCAAGTTGAACATCGTATACTTGTACTTTTACTGTATGAGTACCACTGGTTGAAGGGTTACACTGTATCCTATACACTCCAGGATCAGTGCTGGTGGCAGTGACTGTAGTGTAAATGGGTTGTTGATTGCCTTTACCCACTGGGACTAGACTACACCTGAGAAAAAATGGGGAAACAGATGAAAGAGATGAATCTGGTGCCTCTAATGATAAAGAAAATGAAACTGCTTCGCCAGCAGGTGTAATACGATCAATCTTTTTTACTTTACACTGCTGTAATGCAGTAGATGAGTAAGTAACAATATCTCCAATGTGATGTAGTGATTTAATATCTTTACTCAATGCAAATTCAGCTTTTTCCTTTGGATGCAACTCCTCCACATTGATCTGTGCAGTAACTTCATTCATACGCTCCATCATCTGTTTCTTAGACCTCAGGACTTGTCGTGGACTGCTTGTCTTCAGACTCTGCTTTACATGGTCTTCAATATCCCCTAAAAGGCTCAAACTCATTTCTGCTGATTTTATTTGCTCTGACAGCCTCGTGAGTTTAGCATCAGTGACCCTCTTTGCCTGTTCAATCAGTTTTCTCTCTGACTGACGAAGAATATCCATCATTTCCTCTACCATTTCATGTACTTCTTCTAAGATTTTTCCTC